ACCTAATATTACTGATCCACCGCCTCCTTTGATCCCTCCATTTCAGGTGTTATGATCCACAAGTTGCTTTAGCTCAGCTATTGACTTGTGTCCTTATCCAAGCCCAAGCGCAAGTCCCGGGTTAGCACCCCTCAGATATCTCTACCAAAAGCAGCATTGGAGTCAGCACAAAACCACAATTATTGAGTTCAGGAAACCAGTACAGTCATGAGATTCCTCAAGGTCATTAGCCACATCAGAAGTGAGGATGGATTGGCTATGATGGCAGAAGCTGAAACTTGGCGACAACATAATGCAGCAAAGTCTGAAGCCTCACCAGCTGCGGGAGATAACAAAGCAAATAGTCAAGCATCACAGTCTGAAAAGAATGAAGTGAGTCGGCAACAATCTTTCACTGCTAAGTCTGAAGCGGCAACAACTGTAGGAACTGATGTTAAGGCGGAGAATGGAGCTTTAGATAAAGAAAGTAAAGCAGTGATTCCCCCCATGGTAAAGCAGTGTCCCATGGGTAAAGCAGTGTCCTTGGATCCAGTTGATGGGTCAGAGCTAACAATGATTTGGAGGATCCAGAAGACGAAACCGACGACCCAGTAGAGGAAGCAGGGGAGGATGTTGAGGAGCAAGATGAAGCCGACTAAGTCGATCAAAAGACTATTGGCCCTCTTGAATTGGAGGATGTCATCTTGAATTTAGAAATAAATTCCATGTCTAGAGGTATAAGACGTGAGTGCTATTCAGAATATATATAGATATATATGATGCTGCTTTCTTTCTACCGTGTCCGCCGTAGGCATAGATCCAAGGAATCAACAAAAAGATATGTACTAATTGATAGTTGATGGATGACTTACTTCGAGGAATGGGAACTTGACTTTAAATAAAATTATAATTTCAAACAAAGAAGATTTAAGATTCAGATTTTTCTTATTAAAAAATAAAAATAAAGTGTATTAAATCAGGCAGGACAAATAGATTTTTACATTTTGTAGGGTGGAAAAAAGAGAAATGAGTACACAATATTTGGAATTTCCGCAAGGAACTAGCAATAAAAACAAGACTATCCTCTCGGGGAAAAAACCTCAAAAATCTTGTTCAACACCCTCTCTCAATCCTACGAATTTCATTCTCAAAACCAAAACATTCCATCTCCGTTCATAATTATTTATAAAAAAAAAATCTTGTTCTCTTGCTTCTAATCTTTTATGGCTCTCGTTGAGATCAGTGGGTAAATCTAATTCCGCTCTCAGTCACTTCTCTCTGCGGTTGCCCATGCCGTCTCTTATCAAATGGAACCCTTTCTCGCTCTCGCAGAACCCCTAAATCAAGCTTAGCTTAGTCTTTTCATGGATCCGGACCACTCTTCCGGGTTCCTACCAGTATTACGTCAACGGCGGTAATTACGGGTGGCCTGAACCCGAAAGTATCGACGAAATCAATGCCAATGAGGTACCTTTAATTATGGTTGTGCCCCTATTTGTTTCTGTCGATATATATCTATTTGTAACTTAGAACTGCATTTTTCGATGAATCTGATTGTTGCGATATGTCCGTATAAAAGAATTTGCTATCATGAAGAGTTAAATTCATTAAGAAAAAGAGAGAAAAGACATGGACTATGAAGATTTATATAATTCTGGAATTAAAAGAGAATTTTTTTTACTCCATTTGGAAGGAATTGGTAGAATTTAGAAATAGTCATAGTTATATGTTATCGAAATTTCTCAATCCAATTAAAGGAAACCTTTGTTCAAAGTTAGTTACTCGAGACAGTTATGTGGTAGGAAATTGAAAAAGGCAATGAGTTACCAGTGGCAAAGGATTCTTTTCCGAGCTACAACATAAATCAAGTCAATTGAAAAAAGGATCGTTTTTGGACTCGGTTTGGGATCTCTGTCGGAGGTGCTGTACTAGCTGGAGGATGGGTTTTCACTTGGCTTTGGCTGCCGCTGTTGCTTGGTGCACGAGAGTATTTTGACTGGTTAGGAGCCGTGGAATTACTGCTGGAATGACACCCGCCACGATATGTCTCAAGAGTTTGCTCTGTTATATGTGCTTTCATGCCATTCTCACATTGTAAGATAGTGAATTATGTTTCTTCATTCTTAAATGGTTTCTACTATATTTGGTTCTTTATCTTTATTTAGAATGCTACGCTTTGCCCTTAAAAACTTGGAACTCCTACTTTGCTAGTGAAATATTCTTTGAAAATATTTCATGTTGTAATTTGTTTAGAGTGCTGTATTATCAGGTACTTTGGGAATATTGATATTTCAGTAACATCTGCTGCATTGTCGTGGCTATGGCACTGCTCATGCAAAGAGGAAACCCTCGTTTTGCTCAGCTTAGCAGTACCATGTTTGGGTTATTTTATTGCGGCTACCTCCCTTGTTTCTGGGTTAAGCTCAGATGTGGTTTAGCAGCTCCTGCCTTGAATACTAGTAAGAATATGGTTTCTCACACTTAACTGATTGTAAATCTAAATGTTGGACAAATTTATTTATGAACAGTGAATATCAATATTGTTAAGGTGTAAGTGTAGAGCTGAAAATGGCCTTTTTTCCAAAGCAGTAATAACTTATAAACTGCTTTTGCTAAAACTTGGGTGGTTTGGTTAAGGTTTTGGGATTTCTAATGGTGCATCTCAGAACCTGTTATTTCTCTATGTAATGATTTTCAAATGTGTCACGCCTTTATTCCATCGGTGTGAAAACTTCATTCATGTTTATTTTCACATTGTTTTTCATTTGCATGTGTGTTGTGCCATTGTGGAAAGGGGAACAGGTTATGAGTCTATGACCATTCACAAACTGTTTTACGAGTTTCCTTTTGGCAGGAATAGGAGCTGGATGGCCTTATCTTCTTGGTGGCCAAGATCATTGGACAGTAGGCCTTGTGGCAACCTTGATTTCATTCAGCAGCATAATAGCAGCAGATACATAGCCTTTTGGGGGAAAGGTATGTATAGTCTTGATCAAGATGATCTTGTTCACTTATTTAAATAAATACTTTAAGATGCTTTGAATGGCTGAATTCTACATTAGTACAGCTATTTATGGCATGAGAATGATTTTTTTTCATTATATTTAAGAGGACATATCATCCAATGAACGTGATGTGTTTGTCCTGTTGTGATGCAGGCCATTGGCAGGACCACTTACCAATATAAGTCCAAAGAAGACCTGGGAAGGAGCTATTGTTGGCTTGGGTGGTTGTATAGCAACTTCTGTAGTACTGTCAAAGATTTTAAGCTGGCCAGCCTCTCTGTTAAGGTTTCAATCTATCTCAAGTAGTAATGTACTAAAGGATATTCCAAAATAGATATCTCTTTCACACACAAAGGTATCATAGTAACTTAAGAGCAGTGGTATAAGTTTCCGCACAAGACACTTGTCTCAAGATCAAGAGTTGGATTATTATGTTGATATAGCTTATGAATTATTAGGTTTGAAGACGGTACAAGTTCCACTAATAATTCAAGTTGTCCCCATTGGGTTACAAGTTGGTTTATTTCGTTAATATTTAATCTGATGGTTACATCCTTTGGTGTTCCTTCACCTTCACGCCATGCAGACATTTGATAGTCGGTGTGCATGTCTAATTCGAATTCCAAAGCTTTTTAGTTAGTCACAGTGCATGGAATGTGAATAATAGTGATGACTGATTGTTGATTCTTTTGAAACCAAATCTTGGTTAGGAACAGTGCAAGCAGCCAAGCGTCACTTGTTATTCACTCCAGGAGTCTAATACTGGGATTACTGGATTGCTTTTTATCTAAAATAGACGCGGTATTATGAACTTCACTACATTAACCCTGACTTTACATAGTCTTTTCATTGGTTTAGTGCAATAGCCTTTGGGATTCTCAACTTCTTTGGATCTGTTTTTGGTGATCTTACTGAATCAATGATCAAGCGCGATGCTGGTGTTAAGGACTCTGGCTCCCTAATCCCGGTCATGGTAACTATAGTTGCTCATGATTTATTCAATTAATTTCCGATACTTTGAGGGTTCACACGAACCTTGCTTACTTTAAACAACTGAAAAGGAAGCTGCTCATTATTTGGCTGGAATAATTATTCATGGATCATATCTCCTTCCATTTTGTCATCTCTATATTAACATTGTGTTTGCACTGTCGAGCAGGCGGAATACTTGACAGAGTGGATAGTTACATGTTCACAGGTGCACTCGCATACTCTTTTGTAAATCTTATTGCCGCGCAGATTTTGATCAATAGCATCAGAGGGGATACAAGATAGAATTTCTTCCATTTATATATATTATATATATATATATATATATATATATATATATATCGAACATCGAGTGCAGAAGCACATTTGACGGATTCATGCAAACGCTGTTAAGAATCTGAATGAAAGAAACTGAGGTTGCAGTGGCAACTCTGTTATAGTCAAGTCGAGTTTGAGTATTGTTGAGTTTGAGTCAATTTGAATGTTCATGAGTTTAAAATTATCAAATTTGATTCGAATTCAAATTAAAAGTTGAACTCAGGCTCGAACTTTAAAAACTTGAATATTAAATATTTTCAGATTTAACTCGATTGAAATTGAATATTGCATTTTAAAATAAATATCAATTTAATTTTAAAAATTAAAAATTATTTTTTAAAATTTTCTTGAATTTTTCAAATCAATATTAAGTAGTTAAGAATTCTAATGAACTCAAATTTGAATTAAATTTATTTGATTTAAATATTGATTAAACTTAATAAAACCAAAATTGGAATAACTTAACATTCATCTATCTCATTTAAATGGAAATTCCTGGAGGTGATCTTGTAAAGATAATATCGAATGAGAATGATGTAGAATTTTTGGTTAGCAACTTAACCGAAAAGCAGGAGAAGCGCGCCGTTTGAGCCAAACAGCCATCTGTCATCTTACTCATGTTACCGTCTTTTGTTTTCTTTGAACACAACAGGTCAGTTCTCTGTCGGTTAGTTCATTTCTCCTCTTATTTTTGCCATCTGCTCACCAGAGGAAATACAAACATAAACAAAATATTATTGCTTTAAATTTTAGTTCGCCAAAACCGGGTACGTTTCATACGATGAAATTTGGGGGTTTTGTTTAATTTGCGATGATCGGTGTCTGATTTCCATCAAATTAAAAAATATCATCATTTTTTTGTTACTTTGGGTTCTATTTCGTTGAAGTCTGTCTTTTTTTTCACCAATCTCAAATTCCCCTTCCCCTCCCCTAGGAAGAAATTGTTCAAAAAAAAAGCCTGTCTTTTTGTCTTAGCTATGTAAAAGTTGGGTATTAGTTGACATTAGGGTGTTGCCTATTGTGCAGGGCTATCAGCAGAATGGCTAAAAGCAGCTTCAAAATTGAGCACGACTTTGGTATGTTACTGATGTGTGTATTGGTATTAGTACTAGCATTTCTGATCGATTTTGTTGATTTTACTATTAGTTTACTTGAATCCAGAGAAAAGGCGTGCTGAGGCTGCAAGAATCAGGGAAAAGTACCCTGATAGAATTCCTATAAGAATTTATCTTTACCTTTGTCTTTCACCCCTTTTTCCTTTTCAACGTTTTGCTGATATTGAATAACGGTTTGATAGTTCCAGTGTTTGTCTACCCTTGGTGCATATAGTTTTGTATGCCTTTTATTTTTTTTAGCTTGGATAAGAAATTTGTGTGGCTAGGAGTTTTGGTTCCATTGAATTACGCCTTTGGGTAAGCTGCAGACAAATATGCTCAGATTTGGTAATGTTTCATCGCTCAACTTAGAGTTTAAATGCATGTTAATGCATGATCATCGTGGAAGACTTACTGACGCGGTGTTTGCTGCCTAACAATATTGATTTTGTTAATATCGGTTATGTATTTCATTCAATGTTCATGAGGTATGACATGAGGATTATAAGCCATTGTTGAACATTTGCTTTGGTAGGACTTCCATTACTGGACATTGTTGCATGTATAGAGCAGAACATGTAAACTTTGCTTTTGGCAAAACCAGTGCTAAGCTTGAGAAAAGAAAAGTTTGCACCATTTAGGCATGACAAGGTAGAACAGATGATTGTGAGGTGCTCTCTATGCATTTCCTATTCTAGATCTTAACAAAGATTGTCGGGGTATGATTCGATCACTTTAGTGTACGTCTATAAGTCTCAGGATCTCATCCTCGGTTGGTCTGCCCCTCACTGCTAGGAAGGGGAGAGAGAAAGGAAGAACAAGGAAAGCTTGAAACTCGAGCACATGAAAGAGTGAGTTGTGTGTGCCTTTATTCCGGAACTAATTATACAAAAGGCTTTGTATTAAAACCTTGAAAGGTTAAATGGAGGCTACTTGAATTAGTTTACGGTGTTCGGCATGTCATCCGTGCATTATGCAAAGAGATATTTATAACTTTGTGGTTATCCTAATCTGCTTCCATTGATATTTGCTTGTGTGCCTTTCAGGTGATTGTGGAGAAGGCGAGAGAAGCGACATACCTACCATTGACAAGAAGAAGTAAGCAGCAGTCTCATGCCAAGTTTACTGAATATGTTACGATTTATTTTTGTTTTTTTTGGGGAAAAAGAGAAAATTTTTGATTACACCATACTAGCCAGTATCCACCAAGTGTATGGCTGTTACATATTAAACACTTTCAATACAATATTGGCATCCACATTTTGGAACCTATTATGGTACTTGATTCGACTTTATTAAATGATTTCAGATACTTAGTTCCGGGTGACCTTACGGTGGGTCAATTTGTGTATGTGATTCGGAAAAGAATTAGACTAAGTGCTGAAAAGGCCATCTTCATTTTCGTGGACAATGTCCTCCCTCCAACAGGTATTCATTCCACTTGGAAACTTTCTTCTCTCTTTGAATAATTCCGAATGGCTTTTCAGTTCCGATCGACCGACCAATTGCAGGAGCAATAATGTCAACCATCTATGATGAAAAGAAAGATGAAGATGGGTTTCTGTATGTTACATACAGTGGGGAAAATACATTTGGGAGCAGCTGAGTTGATGCAGTAGCCTTATTTACATGTTAACGTTGTGCTTCAATTAAATAAGTGGCTTTATGTCTAATATGTGACCTTTCAGCCTATAGTTTCTGTGTATATAGATATTGTCAGCAGACTAAAATGTTACAGACCAATGGGAAATTGAACAAGTATATATATATAATATATATCATGTATTGCTATTGTCAATCTGCAACATGATCTGTTGGTAAGGTTCTTAAGAGAATTGACAAATATTTTGTAAAATTGCACATGTATTGCTTCTATTCACCTCAAAAAGCCGGGGAGACAACGGCGGATGAGGGCGTTCGAGACTGCTTCTCTTTAACAAGACACATTGGAATCCCATACTGGGTTTTAAGTCTCTTGACTTTATTAGTCATCATGAGTAACTACTTGGACAACAGCAAGTTCAAATCTCGAAACATTAATGTTCCTTTTTTTGTAATTTCAACACCAATTCATCAAACTTTAACAAAGCTTAAGAAGGCGTCGCCTGGAGTTTCAGAGCAGTGGGATCATCCACACCTGCCGTTGATGACTGTGCTGGACCATCCATGATTTAGGTACCCACGTCGTGGGAATTGAATGAATTACATGCTATTCATGACTTGTATTTTGGGTTGTAAATGAACTAACTTGAACAAACAAAGTTATATTCGTATTCGTTTATTTATTTTCAAAACATTCGTGTTCGTTATTTATTTTTGAAAAGGTTCATGTCCATTTGTTTAGTGTTTATGAATATGTTCGTTTAGTATTCGTAATATTTTCATTTAAAGTTTGTTTAATCGTCAACCGTCAACATTTGGTTTTTGTTTTTTATTACAAGCCAAAGAAAAATAATTAAATTACGTCACTAATTCTTAAGTTTCTTGGACTTTATAATTTGAAACTCAAAGTGCACCATATATTTAAATATCTCTATCTTCATAATATTTAAAATGTAAAGAATAAAAAGGAGAAAGACGAGAAAACAAGTTTATAAACGAGCTTGTTCGTGAATAAAATGGATCACACCATCTTTATTTGTGTTCATTTATTATTAAATGAGCGTAAAAAACTTTGCTCACACTTGTTTATTCAACTTAATAAACGACATAAGCAAACATTATTACGAACGACTCATGAACATTTTGTCAAACGTTCATTCATTTATATCCTTATCGGTATTATATCGATGTTTGCAAAAGTATATATTCTAATCGTTAAATTTAAAAAAAAAAAACACGATTTTTGGATGCTACGTTACTTTTCTCAGCTTCCCATGTATATAATTTTCCCTTGTGAAAAAGGAGATAAGCATATCTCATCTCCGTACCTTACCTCTTCTCATCTATACATCTGCATGTTCTAAAACACATCCTCTTCAACCTTCATTTAATTCTCTTACTACATTCACTTACTTCTTACACTGCAAACCAGTTTCATCGTTCCTTCTAATTTCCCTTAACATGTCAATCACTTATTGTTTTCTTCTTTTCTTCTATGCCTTTCTGCATGCATTTACTGCTCGTCGCCTCCGTAAGTTTACACTAAGAACACGCTTGATAAGAACTTCAGTTCTCCGTAAGGTTGGTTTAAGGAATCAAGACTCATTGCTTCTGCATTTAATACATCACTTGCTACATATTTCTGTTAATTTTGCTGAGTGATACGAAAACGGCTTCAGAAGGATCACAGTTGCAGTAGCAGAGGCGAAATCTCAGCAACAGGTGACGATGGTGATGTGGATCACAAGTCTGTAGTTTCAGCTTCATGGCGGGTGCCACATGAGAAACGTGCCGAAAAACATCTTGCTTTTAACCTGGATTACTCACCTCCAAAGACACACCCCCTTTCACTATGACAAATCACATATCACTACAGCCTGGTTGATCCAAACAATTAATGAATCCCCTTTGGCTTAGATCTCAAAATGTTCATCTTTGCAGCGTAGCCGTTGCAAAGTTACGTTTTGACTATGATGTGGGTAAGAATGAGTTATACAAGAAGCCCTTCTTTCCTTCAATGTGCCTCAAGACATATATATATACACTCAAATATTTGCTTAATTAATTTCTTCTACACTGAGTCACTGATTATATCCATCCTTCTTCATAGTATTATTCTTTTTTTGTTAACCAAGTGTGTGCCTAGACTAAGACAGTATTTCAGTAGCTTATGGATGAAAGTAAAATTGAAGGCACCACTCTATATACAAAAACATTGATAATAAATTAATTTGTTTTACATCTGATAAATCTATTGAAATATATATGCATGTGTCACATTTATTATTTTTTTTTCATTTTATAAATAAATGAAAATTATTAACATCATAATTTAAAAATTAATAGTGAACAATCACAAATCAAAGAATCGCGTGAAAAGGGATATTTGTTTAATAGGGGCAGATGTACTAAGTCCCATAGGGATAAAGTGCATCCTATTATTTTTGAAAATGATTAAATTTAATCTAATGTTTTAAGAAAAAAATTATATATCTATTATTTTAAAATAAAATTAAAATTTTAAACACATTCTTAAATTTTTGCATCTTCTATTTAATTATCTTAATGAATCCTCAACTTTCTTCAACCCTCAACTTTCTTCAACGAAGACGACACATCAAATGCAAGGATAAATATTAAAATGGGCAGCGGTCATACTATGCATCTGTATTGGATGAGTGGTAGAGGACCTTGGCACATTCTGCGAAAGAGTCCTACCCGTTCCATTGCTTTCTGCCCCACTGAAAGTATCGACATAATATTTATAATAATTTATTATAGAGTCTATTATTATTTTATAATACAGAGCGACTATTTTATAACATTCATTAATTTAATAATTATTTTAATATAATTTAGTGATTATTTATGTATTTTACAAATGAACTCAGCTGCTTACCGACGTGAAGAGCCGTAAGTCAGGAAAGACCTATCTGCTTATTTGCAAATCAATTTGGACAACTAAAGGTAGGTTTCTTAAAGAAAAACAAAAGTTGGGTTTCAATAATCCCATTTAATCTAATGATCAATTAATTTATGAATTCTATGGAGAATCGTTTTATGGATAATTCAATTTACTATTCATAAGGTTATTTTTAATCTATGATCTTGTTTTAAAAAATTCAATGTCTCGTCCTATTGCATCAATTAATTGTTGTTACATTTATGGTTGTCTTTTAACTCTTGTTCTATTACTTTATTTAATTCATGACTGATTCTAATCAAACATTTGTGATTGTGAAATGTTGAGAAAACTAAACAGTAGACTAAAGAAAACGATGAAAAGGCCAAGTTTTGTTTACAAAATTACTAGAGTTGCATCATGCAGCTTCATCGCTGCCTTTCCATTGCAGCAAACCCAATTCTGAGTACTCCGATGAGACTACACTTTGCACACTATTACTACCTGCACCCTACAAAATATAGCAATGTACTGCAAATCTATAACTAATGAAACTTCATGTCAGTTTTCCCTTTTTTTTAAAAAAGTTTTCACATGTTTACTTTAGAGGGGTTTTTTTCTTCAAAATTTTAAAAAATAGACTTTGTTGAGAGTTTTCCATATTTTGTTTAGAGGTTAGTAAAATAGGTTATTTTTTAATTCAACCCTATACTTTAGATAAAATATAATTTTGATCTCTAACTCTTAGATAATATGGCATTTCAACCCATAAATCTGATCAATGTGCCAAACCGTTTGTTGCTGCTCACAACCGTCGTCAGTCACTATCAACTGCCATCGGTCGTTGGTTGACGATGTTTATTTCCAATTCACTCTTTTTTGGCTTTTTGAATTTGAATTCAATGTTTATTTCATCGATAAATAGATTTAAAAGGTTCAAGTGTATTAATTAGTTGAATTTGAAGTAATGGATTGTTAGTTATATATTCACCAGTTAAAGGAGAAATACGTTAAAAGAAACGAAAATTGAAAGATAAAAGTAGGATTAAGTTTTGAGCATTTGAAGCAACTTTTATGACATACAAGGCTAACATTCAGAAGCATAAAAGCCTTCATCTTCATAAGAGTTCTTCGGTGTCTCTTCACAAAAACATCAAAACCCGTCCGCATAAGCACTACTAACATAAACTACGAAACCCAAACTTTCAGTCTTATGAAAACAAACATATCATGAAAGTGATAAATAAATTACCCTAACAAGGAAAAACCCTAGCAGTAGTTTTCACTTGTTTGGTAAGGGGCGACACCCATGTTGTTTGCAGCAAAGAACCCATCTTTCATCACCATTTCCTCTCCTTCCTACATGCACAACATTTGAAAGAGAATAATGCCCAAACTCCAAAGCAATTTGAACAATACTTTATGAAGAAGAAATAAATTTAAGGGTTAGGGTTTGAAAACACCTGTTGGTGTACGTTTGTTTTCTTCACGGGTTGATCAGGCATAAGTCCGAAATGTATGTCTGGAAAGTGGGCCCACTGAAAAAAAATTAAATATTATTAATACATAAATAACATTAATCAGGGTAAGTAAAACTCGATTAAATTCGGAATTTTTTTATTAGACTAATACTAGTAATTTTAAAAATTTGACTCTAATTTTTTTTTAATTCGAGTCGATTTATAAAATATAACTCAAATAATTCAATTTTTTTTAATAATTAATGAATTGATTTTCAAGTTTAAATTGAGTACTTCCATGACATAAAAATCGCTTATATATATAAAATGTTTAAATTGGAATCAAATAGTATAATAACATTATAAATATTCACAATTAAATTTAAACATAAACTGGAATTGGCTCGACTCGAATTTCATAAACTCGACTATGCTTAAAAAAATTCAAATAAAGTTTAAGTTATAAATATGACTCATCAACTCGATTAACTTAAAAAAATTACTATTAACTCAAAAAAAATTCTAATAAAATTCGAGTTATAAAATGTGATTCTTCATCTCGACTAGCTGAAAAAATTTTACTCGATTAAACCCATAGTAGTAGTACAACCTAGATTGTAAAAGGACTTAATTTGAGATAAATAATACAATAAAAGAAATGTGGAAGAGAATAATGGAATCCTGGGATCTTACATTCTTGGCAGCGGCACTGAAGGCCTCTCTATGACTTATATCAGGATTCCCAGCTTTGATGCGTTGG